TGGTTGGGCAGAGTTGCTTGTTGCCACGGAAAAATGGGGTGAGGCATGGGTAGTATGTAACTGGGCAGAAACTACAACAGCAATAAGGAAATTCCTCAATGGATCTCACAGTACAGGCCAGTGGGATAGGCTATGCCACATTGCCAGAGCAAGGCAGGAGATGAAAGAAGGAGGTGCTGTGAGTATGTTACAAATTAGGGATTACTCTTCTCTGCTCTTAATTCATCAGATTGTTACTTTGTTAAGCTTCTTGGTGTTAGCCTTTAGAGATAGCTTGGAGTTTTTGTAAATAACTCCTATTTTGGGGAGTTTTTGAGAGTCGTTAGGGACTAGAGAAAATATCTACTCCTCCACCTTGTTGGTCATTTAACCTGGAATCACAATTCTAGATTGTATATAATAAAAGTCTACTAGAAGTCTTCCATTAATAGGGAGCTTACTAGCTATCAAAGCATCCCATTCTAGTTTTGAACAGATCCAATTGTCAGGAGGTTTTTTTTGTTTTGTTTTGTTTTCTTTTTAATTGAGAGGCAATATGCCTCTACAATGTCTACCCATTGTTTCCAGCTCTTGCTTTTGGGGACAAACAAAAAAACTGTAATGATTTTTTCCACATGATAATTCTTCAAATACTTGAAGACAAATGCTTCAATCTATCACATAGCCATTATCACTTTTTTTTTTCAACTTCGCATTTGGCATGGTCTCAGTCCCCTTACCATTCTAGTTACTCTCCTCTGAATGCACTTCAGTTTGACACTGTTCTTCCTAAAATGAAGCTACCAAAACTAACCCTTAAACTCCCAATGTAGTCTGAGGGTTATCATGGTCAAGGGGGCAGGTTATGGAAAGATTTAAATGCCAAACAGAGAATTTTATATTTGATCCTGGAGGTGATAAGGAACTACTGGAGTTTATGCACTAGAATGGGAGGGACTTGGTCAGATCTTCATTTTAGGAAGATCAGTTTTACAACTGAGTGATAGGTAGAATGGAGTGGGGAGAAACTTAAGAATACCAACCAGCAGACTATTGAAGTAATCCAGATGTAAAATGGTATGGGTCTGTAGTATGTGGTGGTAAGAGTATCAGATAAGAGAAGAGGGCATATAAAATAGATGTCACAAAGATAGAGATGACAGGACTGGGATGGATGAAGAAGAGAGTGAAGAGTTGAGGATGATATGCAGGTGGCAAGCCCAGACAATAAGTAGGATGGTGATATATACCACTGTATTGGGCAAGTTAGGTAGAGGCCACAACTATTAATGCATCTGAAGAAACTTTTAGCTTTGGTGGCTACCTTGCCATACTGTTGAGCTGATACTGAACTTAGAGTTCACTAAAAGCGACGGAGCTTTGCTACTCTATTGTCTAGCCAGGCCTACTCCAGCCTATTCTTATGTAATTGGTATTTTGAACTTCATTGTATGACTTTATATTTATTTCTACTAAATTTCAGTTGCTAAATTTGGCCAATGATTCCATCTTTGGCCACTGATATCCTTTTGAATCATGAGTCTGTCATCTAAAATATTAGCTATCCTTCCTAGATTTGTATCATATATGTGTACGTGTGTGTGTGTGTGTGTGTGTGTGTGTGTGTGTGTGTAAAACATATGTCCATCTAACTGCATATCATATTTTTGGCAACAATCACTAGCATTTAAATAGCATTTTAAAATTTACTAAATGTTTTTCATATTATCTCATTTGATTAAAAAAAAAGACAAAACCCAAAACAAAACCCTGTGAAATAAGTGCTGTTATCTCCACTTTTACTGATGAGGAAAGTGAGCCTGAGAAAAGTTAAATGATTTGCTCAGGGTCACATAGCTAGAAAGCATCTGAGGCAGCATTTGAACTCAGTTTTTCCTGACTCCAGGTCCAGGGTTCTGTTCCCCTCACTGCCACAAATAAACAAACAAGTGAACGAATGAATAGCAAATGGATAAAAATACAAAAATAAGAGATCAGAAGGTTAGGGAAAGAGATTTAAACTTGAGATTTTGATTTCTATAGAGTCATTTGCATAGAGGTATTAATGAGATTGGAACTCTGGTAGCGATTGGAATTGCCAAAGAGAGTTTAGAGAGTAATATGAAGGCCAAGGACAGGGCCTTTTGGTATCCCAAACTTGGGAAAAGGGGAGCCATTGAATTCAAACATATTAGAAACATCTTTTACCAGGATCAAAACAATCAAACAAAAAAAATGTTGTATTGTTTCTGCATCTCTGCCAGCACATAGAATTGTGCTTCGCGTGTTGTAGTCGCCTAATAGGTGATTATTGGATGAATGAATCAAGAATGAATGAATAAATGAATGAATGAATGAATTAATGAATGAATGAGTGCATCCTGTGTTAACCCAAATAATTCCTTCTCTGGGAATTCTCTTTAATGTAGTAAAGTTTCTTTCTGAACTCCCAAACAATATAAAAAGCAACAAACACAGGAAAAAGAAGGGAGGGTGAGTTCTTGACCTCCTCTCTTTAAAACTCATTTCCCTCTTTGTTCAGTAAACTTTGTTCATTTGTTTCCTGTTTAGGACAGGGACTCTAGATACAAAATGTGATTTCACCATTACATGCCTTCAGAATGAAAAAATAAGGCTCTATCTGAAAGAATTTTACTTAATTAAACCATCTGTCAACAAAAGAAAAATGATGCTATTAAAAACTTTGATGTAATTCAATTTAATTTAGTGCAACAAGCATTTAGTAAGCACCTGCGGTGTACATGGAGCTATATGAGGCACTGCAGAGGGGCCTTCACAGAACCTAGCCCATTTTAACTATGCTCTCCTTTTCTTTATACTTTGCGCAATTTGGAAAACTTTTTTAAGAGGGAATGAACATGTCTTTTTTTTTTACCTTCGTCACCCAAAATGTAATTGATTTGAAAGATTGAGTATACTTTTACTTTCCTGCAATTTTGATGGCCCCTGGTATAATAGTACATTTTACACTAACACTACTCTTTCCTGGTGTAGCTTCTGCCTATCTGACCACTTATTCTAAATCTCCTCTGTTGGCTGATCATCCATATCCTGTGACTATTCCTTGAGGTTCTCATTTGGCATTCTTCTTTTCTATTTCAAATAGATTTCAGGGAGTCTGTGAATTTCAATGGGAAAAATGTCATTACTTTTTTTTTTAAATCAACCTCTAACTGAACTTTAGCATCTCCATCAATTATTTAAAAATCATTATTCTGAGAAGGATTCCATGGGTTTCACTAGACTGCCAAAGGATACATTATACATTTTTTTAAAGAAACCTTGCTCTATACTCACTTGCTTGGTAAACTCCCATGGGTTGTATGTCTCCTACTTCTACCCATCCAGTCCCAGATCTCTTGTGAGCATCATTCCCATATCCCCAACTGCCTATTAGAAATTGGATGTCCTGGAGACATCTCAAACTCAGTATGTCCAAAGCTGAACTTATCTTTCTCCTTATCAGTTCCCCAGGTTCATAGCTTTGGCATTATTCTCAGCTCTTTACTCTCTTTTATCCCACATACCCGATCACTTGCCAAATCTTGACATCTCTATCTCCCTAGAATCTCACAAATCTAATTCTCTGCTCACACAGCTCCTACCTAAATTCAAGCCCTCATCACCATTCACTTTCACTCGTTTCAGTCATGCCGGACTCCATTTAAAGTTTTGTTGGCAAAGATATTGTAGTGATTTACTATTTCCTTCTTCTACTCATTTTACAGATGAGGAAACTGAGGCAAACATGGTTAAGAGACTTGCCCAGAGTCACACAACTATTAATTGTCTGAGGTCAGATTTGAACTCAGGAAGATGAGTCTTCCTGACTTCAGACCTGGCACTCTATCCACTGTTATCACCTAGCTGCCCCTAGTTAAAAAATTAGCTAACAAAAACATTTATGATCCCTCCTAATTCCCCCCTACCACTGGAAAAAAATAAAAGAAAAATAAAACCCTCTTAACAAATATGCATAGTCGATCAAAACAAATTTCTGCATTGGTTATGTGCAAAACTGTGTGTCTCATTCTGCATATTCACGCCATCGCTTCTCATTCAGGTAGCATTCTTCATTATCAACACTCTGGAATCATGATCAGTTATTGAACTAATCATAAATCTCAAGTCTTTTAAGTCTTATTCTCTTTTTAAAAAAATGTTATTACTTGGATTCCGTGTGTTAAGTTGCTCACTTTACCTCACAAGTCCATTCTACATACTGCTGTCAAAGTAATTTTCCTTAAGTACAGATCAGACCATGTGATTTCGCTACTCGTTTAACCCTGGTGGCTTTGTATTGCTTCTAGAACAAAATATAAACTCTATTTTGCTTTAAAAACCCTTCACAACTTGACTGTAACCTATTTTTTCTTGTCTCATTATATAATCCTCCCCTCCAGTATTTTCCTATTCAGCCAAAATGGCCTTCACACTTTTCCTCACATCTGACACTTTACCTCTAGTCCTCATATATTTGTACTGATTATGCCACATGCCTGAAATGTATTACTTCCTTACCCCTGCTTGATAAAATCCCTTACTCCCTTTAAAATGAGGCTCAAGTACCATCTTCTACATTAAGTCTTTCATAATTTCCTTGTCTGCTGATTTCCTGACCCTGCTAAACTACCTGGTTCTGGAGAAGGAAATGGCAAACCACTCTAGTTATCTTTACCAAGAAAATACCAAATAGGCCATGAAGAGTAGGACATAACTAAGAAATGCCCAAACAACAGCAAACTTTTTAGTATTTAACTATTTTGCATATGTTTGTATACATTCACTTTATGTTGATGCTGCATATATATTCATATATGTGTATGTATTTTTGTCTCCTACAATAGAATATAAGCTTCTTGTAAGTAGGTATTGAGCCAGTCTTTGTACTTCTATCTCCAGTGCCTAAAAGAGTGCCTGGCACATAGTAGGCACTTAATAAATGCATGTTGATTGATTAATTCTGCTCCACTGCTTATTTACTTACTCCTTACTTACAGGATTCTAGTGGAGGATGCAGTAGATTGGAGACCACAAGACAAGATTGTATTGAGTTCTTCATCTTATGAACCTCATGAAGCAGAAATCCTCACTGTAAAGGAAGTCATGGGTCAAAATGTTAGAATCCATGAGTGCCTCAGCCACCGACACCTTGGTAAGGACTTTGACAAGGAAGAAATCAATGAACCTTTGTGACTGTATTCTTTAGCTTGCTGAAAGGATTATGTGGTTTAATAAATTGTATTGCAGACTGACCTCAGAGACTATGAATTCTAGTCTTAGCTCTCCTATCAAATCATATGAAGATTCATTATCTGGGTTGATAAATGCCATTACTTCCCTGGAAGTGATGAAAGTCATAAGATCTATATGTTGAAGATGTTAGAGATCATCTAGCTCAATTATCTCACTTTATAGAGGAAGAAACTAAGGCACAGTGGGATTAAATAATTTCCCCAAAGTCACGTAAGTCATAAGTAGCAGGTGAAAAAAAATTAATACCTTACAGTTGTATATTGTTCTTTTTTAAGTTTTTTTCCAAATACTGCAAAATATATTTTCTCATTTGAGTCTCACAATAATCCTATGATTTAGATGGATAAGTAATATTTTACTTATGGTGAAATAGACCAAAGGGAGATTATTTTTTATGCCTCATGAAAGACATTTCCCATGATTCTGTTAATTTCGCTATTTCGTATAAACATTTATATTTGAAAGGTAAATGTTGGTATTTTCGGTAACGGGAAGCTAAGAAGCAGGGGGGGGAATCCAAAAAAACCAAAAACCTTTTCCAAGGTTCAAACAGAAGTTCTGTAGCCAAACCAGAATTTAACTCCCAGCCCCTAACTTTCCAGTTCATTTTTTGGGCAGTGAATCATAAACGGAATGTTTGTTATAAATTTTTACTTACCTCTCATCACCATGAAACTGATTCTTGTGAAATATGCTTGTACAAAAGACATCTTGTTTATTGAAATGTGAATGCATTTTATTATAAAATTAATGAATTCAATACTATTCAATAAGCATTTATTGAAACAACCGTGCAAAGGAAAGGAGGTCCATACTGAGTGCTACGAGAAATTTGAAATATACATACTGACAAAGAAATACAAACTATACTCAAAACAAATGCAATGTAAATTTTATTGGAGGGAGGGATGGGTGACAATTGAGGGAATCAAGAAAGGCCTCATGGAGGTACTGACATTTGAGCTAAACCTTGGAGGGTGGATTCCAAGAGGTAGAGGTGAGGGAGGGAGAAAACTCCAGTCATGAGATGGCAGTCTATGCAAAACGCCACGGAAGCCCAATGCCACTAAGTAGGCCACAGCATAGATTATACAAGAAGGAGTAATGTGAAGTAAGTCAAGGGAGAGAGGTTAGAGCTGTACAGTGAAGAGCTTTAAATGCTAGACAAAAGAGTTTGTATTTTAACCTAGGGGTGATAGGACATTAGACAATGAACATTTTCACTAGCTGCCAATCCTTAATATTCCTAATATTCTTGTGTGAATACAAATAAAAGGAAAAATAAAAAGGCCCTGATTCAGGAAAACAAAAAGACAGCCATTAGGTACAATGAATAACTACTGTCATCAAGTAAAGGAATGATAGAAACATTTCTCTCCTTGTGGAGAAAGAAGAATATGGTTCGTTACTGGAATCTGCAACCTTAAGTCGTTTCTCCTAATTTGTGGTATGGAGGTTTTCTGTTTGTCTGTCTGTTTGTTTTTTTAAGAGTAAGAAAAAAAAAAGATAACTACATACCAAGTCCTATTGCTAAGTTCCCCTGTGTAATGAAAATTTGTCCACAGCCTAAGTTAAGTCAACAAGCATTTATTAAGCACCTACTATGTGCCAGGCACTGTGCTAAGTGCTGGAGATACAAAGAAAGGGGAAAACAATTCCTGCCTTTAAGGTGCTTACAATTGAATGAAGGGGATACAGTATGTGAACAACTATGTAGAAACAAGATAAATACTGGAAAAATTGGAGGTTATCTCAGAAGGAAGACACTAATGTTAAGGAGGACTGGGAAAGAAAGGCTTGTTGAAGAAGATAGGATTTTAGCTGAGTATTGAAGGAAGTCAAGGAAGCCAAGAGACAGAGATAAAAAGGAAGAGAACTCCAGGTAAGGGGGTCAGCCAGTGAAAAAACACAGGGTGGCAATGAAGCATCTTTTGCGAGGAACAACAAAGAAGCCAGAAATTGTTTCAATTCAGCTTTGTAGAGACCTTGCTTGGGGAGCAGTAGGTTTGCTGGTCTATTGAATGCACAAGAGGTGCACAGTGCTCTCTGTTCAAATTTAACTCTTGTTTTCTTTTTACAGCTATAAATAATTGTCTTAGTGTTGTCGCTGGCCTAGTTGATCTGGGATTCCTCATTTCCATGAAAGTGGTCAGTTGACAGTGTACAAGCAAACTCTGATGTCTAGAGCTGATATACTTAAGGAAGGAGGATGGGGACCCTACTAATTGGCTAGCTCTGCCCTGGTTTCTGGACGCCAGTTGTCAGTGACAGTACCTACCTAATTGAGAACAAATGAATTCTTGCTCTAACACACTCACTCTGATCCCAGAGACAAGTGAGCGGCCTTCTCATTTCTCAGTTGGTGCTGGTGGAGAACGCCTGAGGAAAAGCGAGCCTTAATGTGGGTAGAACTTCTGAGGGGGAGAAATGTTTTCATTTGTCAGTTTCACTGGGTCCCCAGCTGGTGATTTCCAAAATGGACTTTAAGATTGTATTATCACCCCTTGTCCCCTCTGCCACAGGAAGTTCCCATTCAATGGAAGATGGCAGGCATATTTCTCTGGCTGCTGAGGTGGGCCTCCTGACTCGAAATATAAAAATCCAGCCTGATGTTCCATGTGGTGGAAGAATGGTTGTGGGGTCCTTTCAAAAACCTAATGGAGAAGAATTTTCAGGTATGTGAAATTTCAATGGTTCAGTAATTCTAGTCACAGACTAAACTCTGACCAGGAACAGAATTTTGAGTTTCCTCATCTGGTCAGTGATGGGGCTGGACTCCATGATGCCTGGGATCTCATCCAGATCAGCAATTTTATAATTTCATTATCTTAATCTGTGCCCATTTATCAGTTTTATGTTAAAGCAATATGGCTGAGAACAAAAAGAGACATGCATTCTTAGCTCAGAGAAAGTATCTTTCTAGAGAGGCACCATGGTATTGGTGGAAAGAATGCTGGCTTTTGGGTCAGAGGTTGTTATTGTTGAGTCATTTCGGTCATGTCTGACTCTTCATGACCCCATTTGGGGTTTTCCTGGCAAAGAAACTGGAGAAGTTTGCAGTTTCCTTCAAGTATGGGAGGCCAGATTTGAGCTCACAAAGATGAGTCTTCCTGACTCCAGGCCCACCACTCTATCCACTGCACCACCTAGCTGCCCTTGAGTCAGAGGACCTAAGTTCAAATTCTGCCTCTTTCATTCGCTACCTGTATGACACTATACCTCTCTGATCCCCCTTTTTCCTCTTTTGTGAAATGGGGGCAGCAGTGGACTAGTTGACCTCTAAGGTCCCTTTCACTCTAAATCTATGGTCCTGTGAGCTTTGATTGACTGTATTGTGCAGTTTCTTCAGACTTGCAGATAACTTGAACCCTACATGGTTTCTTTGTATTCTGCTGTTTTCCCTGGCTCCTCCAGTGTCGGTGATGGCATGTTTAGAGCGTCAGTTGTCAATAAAATGTTTTCTTTCTTGCAGATTGTTTTATTTAAAGATTGATTTCACTTATTTTTAGACATAGTCCTGGAAGTTCCCTCTCAGGTCATTGATGTAGAATATCATTTAATCTTTTGCTGCCTTTCAGTCATAAGTCATTGATTAGAAATCTCCATTCTAGAGGTTAGATTCTTCCTTCGATGGTTTTTGGTGTGGGCCTATATGATGAATCTTTAACCATGTGTAAGATATGATCCAGGGCCCATTCCTAACCAAATAATCTACTTATGTATTTAGGTTCAGAGGGTGGTTGAGGCTGACCTTTGGTTTGTGGATGGACAATCCTTTGCTTAATTCAACCTAGAAAAACAATGAATGTGCACTTTGTAGTGTTCTAAAACAAAGCTCCTGTACTAGGAAAAATCTGGAATGATTGTCATAGCAAAGTATTGTTTTCTTTTATGCTATCTAATTAAATATCCACAAAATTGGATAAATGTCCATTATTTTGTAATAATTGCTAGCATGTATATAGAGCATTAAGGTTTTCAAAGCACTTTACAAATGTTATCTCTTTGCATTTAATTCTGGGAGATAGATGCTATTATTATCCACATTTCATAGATGAGGAAACTGAGACTGAGAAAGATTAAGTGACTTGCTCAAGGTCACACCCTGTATGGATCAAGCGCTGGATTTGTGCTCAGATCTATCTGATTCCAAGTTTAGCACTGTATCCATTGTGCTATCTAGTCATTTGTGATGGTTTAAATTGACCTCTGTCTTGATAGTTGGTTTTTTTTGCTACTTTTATAAATGATCTGTTATACTTAAAGTGAAAAATAATCACATTTGTGATTATTTGTGAACATTTGTGAATATCAGAAAAATCACCTTAATGAGGAAGGGAAGAAAAAGGAGTCTGATATGGAAAGGCAAATAAGACTTGCTAGGACACAGGAGGAGGGGAAGTGGAAAGGAAGAAAGAAGAATCTTCTCTTATGTGCTAGCTTAAGATGGTTTTCCTAGCCCCTTCCCAAACCCTCATTGAACTGGGAGCATATGTAAATAATTCTGGTTCTTGGTTAGGAGTATCAGGAGTTTCATCCAGAAGCCTATGAATCATTGAGCTAACAATTTGCTATAAGTGCATTTTCCAAAAGGAGAAATAGCAAAGTGGTTATGTGCAAAATCTCAGCTTAATTCTTGCTTCAGACCCCTGAGAGGATTAACAATTTGCTGGGGACTAGTTTTCAGCACTTGTTTCATACGCATCCAAGTAAAATAAACCTAACAGCAAAACTTCACCGATTTCTTCAAAAAAGTGAATTTTTACAGCAAAATTGAGACCCTAGGCATATACTAATCATTATAAAAAGGCCAAAATCCTTTGGTTAAAAAAAACAATTTTTAATTCCCTTCGACTGAAGTTGAAAAGAGGTATATTCTGCAGTCTTTTCAGTAATGTGTGGCTTACTATGGTTTTGAGGGAAAATGGAGAAAAAAGTTTCTCTTGATCTTTAGGGAAATTTTAACAATGAATTTAATATCTCTTAACTAGTTAATCAACAAATACTTATTAAGGGTCTAGTTGTCATCCACATTCAAGTAAGCCCCAGCATCTTGGCACAAGTGCGTTAATGTACACCATTTTTTACCTCCTCTGTTTTCCTCAGTTTCCTCAACTGTAAAATGGGGATCATAATAGCATCTACCTCACAGGGTTGTTATGAGAATCAAATGCGATAATGCTTGCAAACTGCTTAGCACAGTGCCTGGCACATAGTAGGCACTTAATAAATGCTTATTACCTTATTTCCTTCCTTTCCTTCTCCAATGCTTCTTGAAACATATTAGCAATGTAGTCATCTTATGTATTCATATCTCTTTCAGTCAATGGAACTGAAGACAAAGTTTATCATGTCTCCCCCTCTTCCTTTCCATCACATGAGGTTAACTCCCTAAGGTATAGTCTTGAATTACCTAACACAGCCAGGTCCAGGACTTAGCTCTTCCAAGGCCATTTGGTATAATGGAAAGAGTCCAGGATGTGAAGTCAGAAGACCTGGCTTTCCAGTCTAATTCTAATACTGTATAACCTTAAGCAAATCACTTGTATTTTCTGAGCCTCGATGTCTTTAAATTTAAAATGGGAGTAATAAATAATACCTTCACTGCCTACTTCAAAGTGTGTTCAGTTCAGTTCAATTCAATAAGCATGTACTAAGTAGCTATACTACAAGGAACTGTGCTAGGTACTGAGGCTACAAAGACAGAACCATAAATAATCCCTGTCCTCAATGAGCTCACATTCTACTGGGAAGGATGGGGTCAGGAGTGCTTTGTAAACTTTAAGGGGCTATAGAATTTGGAATCTTCATATCTACATCTATTCTAGGATTCTAGCCTAGACCTATGGACAAGTGCATGCATTACTAAAGACCCTTCCACTCCTCCCTTGTTGAGCTATTTATGAAACCTTGAGCCAGCTTTTCCAATACACTTAATTGCTCAGGTTCTGCCACTAAGAATTATTGTGCTGTACCTGAGAATGGTCTTTTTTCAGTTTTCAGTAAAATTCTTTATTTTCTGCTGCTTTTAAATCCAACTTCCCCTATACTCTTTTTTTTGGGGGGGGGTGCTATAACAATGTCTATTCTATTTTCAGGTACCCTTCAGATTTCAAATGTGGAAATCCAGAACTTTGGGTCTTTGCTGTATCCATCTATTGAATTCAATAATGTATCTTTGGGATCCTGGATCATCTCTTCTACTGTGCACCAGAGCTGTGGAGGGGGTATTCGTGTATATTCCAGTAAAAGTATCTTCTTATATGATAACATTTTGTTTGACACCATTGGCCATGGTATTGATCTAGAGGGTCAAAACCACTCTCTCATCAAGAACCTCATTGTCCTGACCAGGCAGCCACAAAGAGCAGTGGATTGGGTGACAGGAATCAAGTTGAACCAGGTAAATGATGTCAACCTCACTGGGAATGCTGTAGCAGGATCAGAGAGAATTGGCTTCCATATCAGGGGCCATAGTTGTTCGGTGGCTGAAAATCCTTGGGTTGGAAATGTGGTGCATTCTAGCCTTCATGGACTCCATCTGCATAAGGGAGATGGACTATACAACTGTACTGGTATCTCTGGTTTCCTTTCATACAAGAACTTTGATTATGGAGCCATGTTCCATGCAGAAAGCAACTTGGAGATAGATAATGTGACTCTGGTGGACAATGTTGTTGGTCTTCTTCCATTAATATATACATCCTCTGCTGAACATTGTTCCTTAAAGAAGAAACAGATAGTTCTCAGGAATTCGATCATTGTGGCCACTAGCTCTTCTTTTGATTGCATAGAAGACAGAATTAAACCTCTTTCTGCTGACTTCACATCAAGGGATCGAGCCCCAAATAATCCCAGAGGAGGTCGGGTTGGAATATTATGGCCTGGATTCACTGTGGAACCAAACCAATGGCCTCAGGATGCATGGCATAAAGTGAGGAATTATCCTTCTGTCTCAGGGATTATGAAGCTTGACGGTTAGTTGACCATGTGGGTTCACTTCAGCCACTTGGCACAAGCATTTGGGTTCATTGGGCCCCCCTCCTTAAATACCTGGTACAAGCATGGTTAATGCAATGCAATCTCATCAGTAGTTTGCCTCAAGCCTTCTGCCAGGTTGCTAGTTTGCATAAATAGTGACTGAGTTCTTATGTTCAAATGCTTTTATTCTTTCCAAGCTAGCTTCATAACTATTTTCTCATTTGTGCTTTATAACTTTGTGAAATAGGTTGGGCAAGTGGAATGACCTCCATTTTGCAAATAAGGACATAAAGACATCAACTTAACTCGCTTGCCTGAGGTCAGAAAGACAGTCATTGGTGGGACTGGGCCGAGAATCCAGGTCACTTGACTTCTACTCCTCTGCTCTTTTTCTTGGTCTAATGGGCAGATCTTTTTGTATTTTTTTTTTGCTACTGACTCACTCCAAAAATATTTAATTTTTCTATTGCTTAGTTTGTCCAATTGTAAAATAAATGAGTCAAGTCTTTGAAGAAAATGATTGCCACATGCCAATATTGATTATTCTATTTCTGTGAGTAGTAACAAAGACACATTGCAGTATTCTGATTTCTCTCAAATACTAAGTCCAGGGCTAGAAGAAGCTATTGTTTCAGTAAATTAATATTTACTGTGGCCAATAGGCCACAAGTTGGTATCTAGGTAGATAGAGAGTGGCATGTGCAATAATGAAGAATGGAGGTCAAATCCTACCTCAGATACTGCGTGACCCAAAACAAGTCACTTAATCTCTCTCAACCTCAGTTTCCTCATTGTAAGCATTAAAATCATGTATGTAAAGTACTGTGAAAACCTTAAAGCACTACATAAATGCTAGAGGTTATCATCCTCAGCATTATTGTCTTTCACTTCATAAATGAGGCCCAGAAAAGGGAAGTAACTTGTGGATGGTTACATAGGTAGTAACTAGCAGAGCTGAATGTTGCACATAGGTAATGTAACTCTTCTGTGCCATAGAGGTTTACATAGAGTGATACTGAGCAACAGTAAAAAGCCATCACGATCACAAAACGCTGGCTTGCTCCTCTTGTGGTTGATGGCTCTCATATGGTCCATATCTTATTTGTCCATTTCAGGAGTCACCTTTTCTGACTTTGTGAAGAGCTGCTATAGCAATGACTTGGATGTCTGCATTCTGCCCAATCTTGATAGCGCTGGCATCATGCCCCTAATCACAGCAGAGAGGACAAAGATGCTCAAGGTCAAAGATCAGAACAAGTTCTACTTCTCCTCGCCTAGGCTCAGGTACTGCTTTCAGCCTGTGCAAATGAAGTGATAATTTCCCAATCACATTTGAGTGGCACTAGACACCTCCCCAAATCCTTAAATATTTCAGAGGGAATACTATTATATTAGTAAGCTGTTCTGCTTAAAAAACCCAATCTTATATTTGTTAGTTTGGACCCCTCAACCCTGACTTAGAATGGTTGGGTATTTACTATGCCACCTCCCCCACTTCAATCTTCATTACCAAATTAGCCCTTTATATAGAGGAGCATTTACAAAACAGTGTGAGGAAATGTGCTGAGTATCTACTACCATACTGATCAACAGAACTTAGTTCAAACCAAAAATTTAAATCCAGACATCCAACAGGAAATCATGTTCTTATGTTGATTATATTAACTAGATAATTCCTTAGATGCAATCATGTGACCACTTCTTTAAGGTAGCTATCTTTGTTACAGATGTTTTCTGAATGGCTGGGAAAAAAATAATTGTCACAGAGTTCCATCCCTTAGGGCAAAATAAGCTATTGTCAGTCTGAAGGACCATTATTTGGGCATGGTCATTAGATGGGTACAAGGCTGCCTACTTATGACTTTGAAACATTATTCAGAGTGTGGTTTGAACAGATGTTGAACATATCATATTCCATTATTTGGCGAGTCCTTGCCTCCATGCACTAGCTCTGATGGTTTCCCACATGGCTATGAAGCAACCATAGTACAGCAGATAGAGAACTTGCTTTAGAAATCCTATGTTCACATTTGACCTTTGGCACTTACTAGCTGTGTGACCCTGAACAAATCACTTAACTTCTCAGTGCCCCAGGGGAATCTCTAAGACTTGAGATTTCAGGGCAGATGCCTGATACTGATTAGTAGAGGAAGTTTCCTTACTGGTTGTTCTTTACTAATGAAATCACAGGTTCAGTTAAAAAAAAAAAGGAAAGAAAAGAAAAGAGGAGAGGAAAGGAAAGAAAAGGAATAGAGAGAAGAAAAGAGAAAGAAGAGATGAAAAGCCCCATTAAGACTTCTGCCTGGTGATGTCAATTTAGAATTTAGCACTGGGGAAAGAAATTGTTCTTTTCATTTCCTTCTTTGTGGGAATTGAAAAGGAAAAATCACAAGGAGAGTGTTCTACTTATAACTGGGAAATCAATGTCCTTATGGTTGGCGTGAGCCATTTTAAATTCTTGAAGATGGCTAGAATCAATGAGTGAAATTGCACATTTATAATATGTATGTTGTATGTATAATAACACTTTCCCCTTTTTCCTGTGTTTGGACTAACTACTACATTTACATGAAAAGCAACTGGTCATAATAGATAGAGAGTTGTCTTCAAAACCAGGAAGACCTGGATTTGAGCCTCCTGCCTCTAACACTTCATGGGTGTGTAACCCTAAGCAAGTCAGTAGACTTCTCAGTTATCTGGTCTTCTTGCTAAGACTATAGATTGCAGAGTAGATATCCTCTTACATTGGTAGATAGAGTTTCCATATCTGAGAATTTCCTGTATCAGTGATACCACAGGTCTAATCCCTCTATCTTATTTCCTATTGAATATAGGTAGTGGTGAATTATGAAAAAAAACTTGATAATTCATTTGATTTTATATCATATATGTGGTTGGAACTATTGTATAATAATAAGCACCAAATCAAAATATATATTGTAAATTCTCTATTATCCAATGTTCTAAAAAATGAATACTCTGTTATAAGCATTTTTGTATATGCATAGTATGATAATAATGGCTATTCACTGGTTAACTTGAGATACTATAAGGGCCAGAAGTACCTTCAGAATCATGAAGAAAAGTTAAATTATTTTTCTAAGACTTTTAGTGCAAGAGTTCTTGACCTTTGTTTCAAAGACCCTTTTGACAGTGTGGAGAAGCCTATTAACCTCAGAATTATCTTTTTAAATGCAAATAAATAAAACATGTAAGATTATATAGGAAATAAATTATATTGAAATACTGCTTTGAGATTTTTAAAAAGTAACTCATAGACCTGATGTTAAGAATCCTTTGCATTAGTATTAAGTGTATTTTGTCATATCCTAATTTTTAAAATTTGGTCTTCCATATAAATACATGCTAATTCTCAACCAGAATATGTAAAGGAGATGACCTCCTTCCTTGCTTATGGCAGAAAACATAAAGTTTAGAATATGTTCTAAAGCTAAAGTAACATCTGCCATAGATATAACAAGTATGGTATCCTTCTGAATTATTTTTTTTTTTCAAAATGACAACACTAATATGAGATTTCCTCTATTCTTTTCATTAAATGACACATTTTCTTCTTATCTACTACCATAGAAAGGAAACAGGGGAAATGGTCTGTCCTGGATTGGACTGTGAAAGTCCAATAAAGTATCTCTTCAAAGACCTAGATGGCAGTGCCCTGGATCTGCCACCACCAATTTCTGTTTTTCCAAAATCCAAGTCGGAATGGGTTGCATCCTGCTTCAACACAGGTCAGTTACATCTTAAGACAACCCTGGGACATTACTACTGGGGGAAAATGTGTGTATATATGAAAAAGAGAGGTCAAGCAATCTGCATGCTAACAAAAGCAAACAAAATTAAACTAAGTTAATAAAAAAACTTGAGGAAGGGAATTAGGAGCAGACTTTTCCATTCGACTAGCAAGTTATTCTGCCTACTAGACACTGCCTACTAGGTACTTGATGTGCATAAGAGGTAATGCAAAGTAGTATAATAGTCACAGAAAGCATTTTTGTTATTGTTTGTTATGCTTTATTCCAGGTTTAATAAATATACTCATGAATAATGTTCCATATTTATTTACAGCGAAAGGTGTGTAAATAAACCACATTCCTGCGTCTGCTTTGCCATTGATTAAGGTCAAAGTCCCTACCTGCATATTTTACTTCTAGTTGCCTTGAATAATGAAACAAGCCCCCGTTTGCTTTTTTCTTCCTTCCACTTTTGGGTAGCATGCCATTTGTCAAAATATTGGAATTTCTCTACTCTCTAACATATAACAAAAAATAGGAATTTTTGTTCCAAGGGAAAATTTAGATGAGCTAGATGGGGTAGGGAGGGTGTTGGAGGAAAAGGGAAGCTTTGGTTGATGACACATACTCTATGTCTCAAATTAAAAAAAAAAAAGAAAAGAAAAAATTCTAAGCTATTAATTACTGATATAGATATGGTAAGAACTAGACCTGTGATTTAATTGGTATAAGGAAATTCTAGATGAGGAAATTCCTTCTACTAATGCAAATAGGCAATTTATAGTCATCAAAACTTGTCTAGAGTGCAAGAGGTATAAAGTGAGTCATTCAGGGTCACTCAGTGTATGTCAGAAATATAATCTGAAGACAAGTTTTCTTGGTTCTAAGCCCAGCTGTCTATTTATTCCACACCATGCTAGTTCTTAATATTGCATTAATGCTGAACAAATATGTTTCCTAATATCCTAATTTTCCATAGTTACCATAATAATAAATAAGCTTAAAACACCATTATAATTATATAATAGCCTAAATGCCTAGGGTTTGCAAAGATTTTTCTCCTCTCATCCCAAGCCTGTCATTTAAGAAGCATAAATATGATTATAGTATCTTCATTTTGCACGATTGCATTAAAGTGCACAGAAATTATCACTTACCCATGGTCACACACCTACTCAACTTAGGATCTGGTTCTTGAAAAAACTGTGTTTTTGGGATCCAAATCAAGAATTCTTCTTCTTCCTCTCTAATGCCTCTCAATGAAAAGGAAAGCTATACTCAATTTTGCAAAGATGCCATATTTGTTCATTGTAATAATAGGAAAAAAACAGGTAATAAACCTTTCTCTACTCTGCTAATTCTCTTTTGCAGTTAAAACTACCCCAACTGAGGTAGGATTTTTTACTTGATTCACCTTTATTGTACTCACCAGAAACTCCATTCTCTTTGTGAAATACTTCTTGGCTATCTCTTATGAGAGAAAGATATCATTACCACACTGGAGGTCTTATGAGGGACTGTTGCTTCAAATCAAAAATAAAAGATTGGGTTGACAAAAAAGAAAATAAAGCTGGCATTGACCTGTCAGCTCAGGGAATGATGAAGTAGTTTGTGAGTGAATAATGGTAAAGCCCAAGTATTGTTGGGGGTGGATGCTCTAAATGCTTAGAGTCTGGAGTAGCTACTATTTTCTGCACTGTTTGCTATGTTATACGTGGAAAAATGTATCTTTAAAAAAAAGATGTCTAGGCTTCTATTTTCCCCATTTGTCCTGGGAATGACAGTGCGATGGTATTATAAAATGGAAGAGTGGAAAAGGGAGGGGGTAAGGAATGAGAGGGGAAAATGAAGAGAGGAAATGGTTGTTAGAAAATTTGTCTGCCAATATCTGTGTGTGCAGAGGTCTTTTTTTTCTAGCTAGAGGGGGAAATACCATTCTCTTTTCCCAAGCAATTATAGGCCCCAAAGATTGAAACTTGGTATATAGCTCTTTAATCTCAGCAGATATTTATGGTTAAACATTAGACTTTTAGGATTCCAGATGTCAGGGTATTAAAATATAAAGTCATAGTGGAGGCTCAGAAAATATTAGAATCTTTGGGATATATGACTGCAAGGGTTTTTTATCCCAAGCAGAGACAGATAAAGCTTTCAGTACCACTTTGTAAATTCCAAAGTGAACTTTTTTCTATACCTTATTTTCTCCCTCCCTCTGACTTGCCTTGACTTCAAATGCAGTGGAAGCATAACAATTTGTGATCACATTCTGAAAGAGTACATACTGTGAGTCAGAAGGATTTCCATGCTTGATTTGTAAAGGAAGATGTGGAAGGACACATAATCCATGGGAGCAATTTCCATTTCTTTTCTTGTATTGCAGTGGTTAATTTAAAAGGTACCATCCCTTTAGAAATATGTTCTTTCTCTTTTTTTTCTTTCTCTTCCTCTTTTGTCCCCTTCTTAACTCTTCCTCTTTCCTTCCTGTCTTCATCATCTCTTCTTCCTCTTTATCATAATAATTTTCTTCTCATCCTTGTCCTCCTCATCTTCATTCTCGTTGTCCTCATCCTCTTTGTCCTCTTCCTCCTGTCTTTCTCAGTCTCCTCATCTGAGTTGTTGTAGTCCTCCTCCTTCTTCCCCACCTTTCTCCCCCTTCTATAATATTATAATGTATATATAATAGCATGTATGTATGTGTATAAAGATAGGTAGAAAAATAGATATTACATAATATTCATATAGCACAAACTCAGGTGAGGACTTTGGGCAATTAATTCATTGCTTTGTTCAGTATAAGCAACTTAACAAGATGATTATGCTTTGATCATATCCTCATTAATTGATAAACATACACAACTAAAATAGATAATTTTCCCCTTTAAAAAATACTATTATGGAGGCTAAATTATTTGTTGGGGCTATATTCATTGATCAAATTAACTCATTAATATTACCAGTTTTCTACTTTATGACAAAAGAATTAACTAGGAACTTTGGAAAACAAAGCAGAAAAAGTTATATCTTCCCCCCTAAAAAAAATCCACCACATTTGACTATGTGGACACAGTGAAACCATAGCTACATCAATATGTGCATAATGAATAGACTATTATCCACTCAATATAATTCTTTAAGATGCTTCAGTAATTGATGTAGGCTGTGGCATGTGTGATTTTGTCATAATGAAAAGTGTAAATTATAAAAAATGCTTGATTTGATTGAGTTGGCTGTGTTATAATCCATTTATTTCATGAGAAGAGATGTTGTCTATATGTATATGCATACATTTTTCATCTTTCAAGACCTAATGAGAAAAAATTGCTAGGAAAACTGGAAAGCAGTTTGGCAGAAACTAGGTATAGACCAACATCTCACACTTTATACCGAGATAAGGTCAAAATAGCTACATGATTTAAACATAAAGAGTGAAATAAGCAAATTAAGGGAATGTAAATTTTACATATGGGATCCTATGGATAAGGGAAGAATTTATGACTAAACAAGACATAGAAAGGATCACAGGAAGTAAAATGGACAATTTTGTTTACATTAAATTTAAAAAGTTTTTGCACAAACAAAACCAATACATCCAAGATTAGAAGGAAAGCAGGAAACTAGGGGAAAATATATTTTTCAAATATACATAGGGAACTGAGTTAAATGTATAAAAATGCAAATCATTCCCCAGTTGATAAATGGTCAAAGGATATGAGCATGCAATTTTCAGAAGAAGAAGTCAAAGCTAACTATAGCCAAAAATGAAAAAAAAAGTGCTGCTAAATTACTAGTGATTAGAAAAATGCAAATTAAAACAACTCTGAGATACCACCTCATACCTATTAGATTGGCTAACATGATAGAAAAGGAAAATGAAAAATGTTGGAACGCATGTGAAAAAATAGGAATAACAATGTACTTGGAAACCCTGGAAAGTCACATAATTTCTCAGTGCAACTCTCTAAGATTATTATTTACAAAGAAAGTCCAATCTTCATTGGTAGAGGTAGTTTCCTCAACCTAGAATTCCCTCCATCAGTGAATTCACAGTTCTAGTCCTTATCCCCTATCTCTATCCAGATTGAAATCCACTTTGGTTGATTACTTCACAGCTCCACGAATAATACATCACAATGGCATTTCCCTATTGCCTCTCTAACACTGTTTGTCCTGATTGTTTTTTTCATCTTTGCCAATTTGTATGGTGTGAGGTTAAACCTCAGAGTTGTAATAATTTGTATGTCTCCTACTATTAGTGATTTGGAACGTATTTTATGTAGTTATTTATTGTTTGTAATTTTTCTTTTAAAAATTATTTGTTCCTGTTCTTTGATGATTTGCTTATTAGGGAATAGTAATTTACATGATAAATTTATATCATTTTCTCCTATGTTTTGGAAATCATACTTTTGGTGGTGACATCTGATGAAAATATTTCTTTCATATTCTACATCTACCATTCTCTCTTCACTGACCTTTCTTGTACAAAAGCTTTTTATTTTTATTTTTTGTAGTTACAATTGTTTATATCAATCATATATAATCTCTAACTTTTGCTTAAAAATTCTTTCCCTAGCCAAAGTTGTAAAAAGTGGTTTTTTTTAGTATTTCCTTTATTTTGATTTCCTTATAATTTTTTCTTATTAAGGGTATGGCCTTTTAAATTTAGCTAACATACAGATTTTGAGTTTTATTGTGGTATATAGTATGAGATGTTGGCCTAATATCAGTTCTTTTTGTCAAAATCTGAGTGCTTCCTGTAGTAATTTGTATTCTGTATTTATCAAACTGCTGTTCATTACTTCTTTTTTCTTGCTCATTTAGTCTGTTCTTTTTTCTCTTTATTTTTTTTGTGCAGCACCAAATGGTTTTGATGACAACTATTTTATATAGCAGTTTGAAGGCCCTTTAATTCATGTTCTTTTAAATTTTTCTTTGAAAGTCCAGACATTTTGTTCTTCCAAGTGAACTATAATACTAATTTGTCTAGTTCTTAAAAG